TTGGGACAAAGATTAAAAACCCCAGCAAAGGAGAGAAAGACTTCTGTAAGGCAGCCAAAGGAAGATACTAAACAAACAATAAAGAGAAATATATTATTTTTTCTGTCCTCCCATGTCATCCAATGAGACCTAAACCAAGTCCAGGGTTGATAAGTCAACAGGAGTGTCATTCTGGTTTGGAGCAACACAGGATTCAGCATTACGTGTGCTATGCTTTCTACTGTGCTGCATGCTGCAAAACACTTTTTTGTGGCAAAATATATATACTGTACATTAAAAATGTACCATATAGCATATTTTAATTATCCACCCCAAAGTTTGTATCTGATATTGGGACCACTGGATACAGTTAGGGGAGCTTTATATCTCTTATTTCGTAGCCACTTGTTATCTGAAATTACATTTATATCAAGGTTCTACTCACTTCAGAGTAAATAAAAACAAGTTATGACAAGTGATATATGCGTTTAAAATATTGTTAGTCTGAAGCTCTCCCTGTGCATGAGTCATGCCTGCATTACACCCAATACTACCAGGACAACTCAATGTTATTATCAAATTGTCTAGCTCAACCTTCTTCAAGCTGATACTCTCCATATTTTTTGCTATAATTACAAAATTAACTACTAGCCCATGATGGATGGGGCTAAGGGGTAAACCCTAAGATATCAAGGCAGCACCACATAATTCTCAGCTGCTAAAACTCAAATATAGGACAGTGCCTTCAAAAGTTAGAAATATAACCCATAACATATCTGGGAACAAAAAATTGTGCAAATTAAAATAGTTATACTGTATTAATATCATTTTTCTCTATATTTTAGCATACACAAAGTATACTTTCCTTTATAAAACACAGATGATTTAATGATATTCTCTCTAGAATAGATTAATGTGATTATTTTATTTGAAACAATTATTTTCCCCTAAATTAGTCTGACTACAAAAGTAGTTCTGAAGATAGCGAATGGAAATCTTTGAAATGAAGGTTCCTCACAGCATAGCAAACATATCTACCCTATATGCCTTAAATTTCAAATCTGCTCCAATGGAAGATTAAAACTTCAGTAAAGGTATTACAGTGGGGTCTTGACTTAAGAACGGCTTGAGTTAAGAACATTTTGACTTAAGAACCGCTCTCATAGGAAAATATTGACTTGACTTAAGTACTTAGATTTGAGTTAAGAACTGCAAAAAAACCACGTGGGAGGCAGGGAAAGTGCAAAATTTGAACTTTCAGTTAACTGTTGGCCAGTGAAAATGGTGCCTGTCTGCTTCCTCACTCCTCCCAGCGTTTGGAGAGTGGATTGGGAGTCTTCAGACTGCCTGGTACTGCCTGGACTGTATTTTCCCTGCCTTCCCTGAACCTTTCTTGACCTAAGAAAAAAAGAAACAAAATATCCCCCTCTAGTGGTCGAAGGCGGAATAGCAGCTTCCCATTAGTTTCTATGGACGGAAAAGACCAGATACGGATCAAATGGTTTTCAATGCATTCCTATGGGAAATGCAGATTTGACTTGAGAACTTTTTGACTTGAGAACCGCCTTCCAATACGGATTAAGTTCTCAAGTCAAGACCCCACTGTATACAGAGGGTGCTATCATAATAATTTTCAAAGCAATTCAAGCATATCAGTTTTATTTATTAATCTTTCCTGATGTGTAATCCTTTATTTAGAAGAAAAAATATAGAAAACAAAGGCTGGAATCCAGTAGTAAGTTACAGCTAGAGCACGCCCACTGGATCTATTGAACTTAGGAAGTAGATAACGCATCAAATCCCCACTGATTTAAGGGATCCACTCTATTTGTGACTTACTACTGGATTCCAGCCACAGTAGATAAACTTATATCACTTGCTCCAAGCCACAGTAGTAGTTGCCAAGCAATATTTTTTTTAAAAAACCCCACTAGAATAAGAACGCCATGCCATCCTATACTTAAGCAACCTCTACTAACAGCGAAGTTGTGCTATGTAACAGGAAATCAGTTAATCCATCTTCTGCCTTCTATTACACTACATAAAACTCCATGTTACAAATACTCTGTGGGAATGTTTTAAAAAACTTGAAGGAAGAAGCAAAAGTTATCAAATTTAACATTTTTCATGAATTAAAAATAGTAGTGTACAGGAATGAAGATAACGATTGTCCTTAACTCATAGTACACACCAGTTAACATTTGATCTTATTCATTAAAATTATCTAATTTAGAGTTCACATTTCATATTAAGATGCTCTTTTTTGCAATTAACATGGCACTGATAGGCACAGCAATCTTAATCTCCTTAGATGACCGGGTCTATATCGGCAGGGTCTATGCTAAAGAAGAAAAACTCTACCAGGGAAGGAGGATGCACCAACCCTCTAACCACTGGTTCTTAACCTTTATTACTCGGATGCTTTTGAACTGCAACTCCCAGAAACCCCAGTCAGGACAGCTGGTGGTGAAGGCTTCTGGGAGTTGCAGTCCAAAACTCCTGAGTAACCCAAGGTTAAGAACCAGTGCTCTAGACCAGTGGTTCTTAACCTCTGTTACTCGGATGCTTTTGAACTGCAACTCCCAGAAACCCCAGTCAGGACAGCTGGTGGTGAAGGCTTCTGGGTGTTGCAGTCCAAAACTCCTGAGTAACCCAAGGTTAAGAACCAGTGCTCTAGACCTTGGGTTTTAAGATTAGTAGATAGGCAGGCAGGCACAATCCAAGGCTCTTCTTTTAGTACAGGGAATACAGAGTTGTGATCCCAGACCAGCCATACCAGCCAGAGGTGATGTAACAAGTTTTCCCACACTGCAATCAAAGCAGGGAAGGAATTAAAAGTAACTGATGATTACTGTGTAGGATAATAAATAAGTTATGTCTAACTTTCCCATACTTCAAACACAGTGCTAAACTGTTTGACAATCTGTCATTCTGTACCCACATCCCAGTCCTACTTAACAGTGCTCTCTGAAAGGATAAACGACTACCATGTTCAAGGACAAAATACTCTGTAGCCATGATTCATCTTCTAGCAGCCTTGCTAAAGATCACTGTAGTATCAACAGTGTAAGTACTTTGGATTTTTCCAATCCTACCTCTAGCCACACACCACACATAGGTTTCAGAGCTTAGAAATGGACAAAATATAATATAAAATAAAATAATCCAAAAGCCTGAAATAATTTTAATTAGCATTACTGATTCATTAAATGAATATTGCTGCAATCAGTACCTTCACCAAGGCTGTTTCTAATGAAATAACAGTTCCTACTTACTTTAGTAGCTGAAGAAAAACAAAAAGCAGGTACCTGTGTGATCCTATTTTTTTAAAGTAAGGGATGTTATGCAAAGTAGATAGAAGGCCAAGAATAAAAATAAAAAATCCACATGCCAGTATCAGCCTATGTAGGATTCAGCACATGAGGCTTCTGGATAAAATGTTATCACTGTAGGACAAATGGCCAAAAGAAGCAAGCTGTCTATACTCTTGTCAGTATCAACTCTATAACAACCTTTTGGCATTCCAACATGTGGCCAACATGTGTATCTAGAACTATGGCAACATGCTAATTGTTACTTATGCTTGTGGCAGAATACAGCTTAAGCACCTCTGCATTGAATCAACACATACAGTGGGGTCTCTACTTAAGAACAATCCAACTTAAGAACAGCTCCATTTGCTAACTTTTGCTTCTACTTGAGAACAGAAATCCAAGATAAGAACAGGAAAAAAAACCTTTCCTGCTCTTTTTTTAACCTTAGGTCATCTTAGGTTAAAAAAAATTCTCCCCCTAGTGGTAGAGTACATATTAACCAATATTAACCAATTAGTTCCCATAGGAACTAATGCTTCAATGTACGAACGTACCTCTACATAACAAAAAAACAGCCAGAACGGATTAATTGGCTTTCAGTCCATTCCTATCGGAAATTTTGCTTCAACTTAAGAACGTTTCAACTTAAGAACACCATTCCAAAACGGATTAAGTTCTTAAGTAGAGGTTCCACTGTAGTTTCTATGGACGGAAAAGAGCAGATACGGATTAAATGGTTTTCAATGCATTCCTATGGGAAATGTAGATTCAACATAAGAACGTTTCAACTTGAGAACCACCTTCCAATACGGATTAAGTTCTTAAGTAGAGACCCCACTGTACCTTTTACACCACATAGATCACAGAATGAATTTCCTTAGGGATTATTCTTTTTTTCAGAAAATATGTTTTTATATGTTCTTGCTTTGCTAGTCACCTTAAAGATGGGTAGAATTCACTACAGGTAGTGAAATAAGATAAATGAGCAGCAGGAAAGTTCCTACTTGTAGCACACTTCCTCATTACCCAACACAAATAACAGCAGCATACATTCCACAATTCAGCCAGAATTGGTGCAAAATTCATAGGGCTTTTTTTCCTGATGTTTAGCACGAAGACTAACTACTTCAAAAGAGTTCTGAGGAAAATAAATCCCCACAGTCTTCTGTGTTAAAGTTAGAAATAGAGTGGTGCCCCGCATAGCGAGGTTAATCCGTTCCGGATTAACCCTCGCTATGCGGAATCGTCGCTAAACGGGTAGGGAAAATGTTCCAATACCTTGCTTACTTACCCGTTCAGCGAGGATTCCCCTTGCCGGCAGCCATTTTCGCGCCCTCGCTAAGCGAGGGCAGGGCG